CGGCCGCAAGCTGGCCCGCCTGGGGCTGGTGCGCGCCCTGCGCCTGGGCCAGAGGTTCGGCGGCCTCGTGCTCAGCCCGGTGGGCGCCCAGTACGTGTCCCCGGCGGACAGGTAGGCGCAGGGTTCTGGGGCCTGGGGCGGGCGGGCCGAGCCCCCAAAGGCCACCGCGTGCATCCGCTGCCAAGGCTTCCTCCGTGCTTGGGCCCTGACCGGTGACCTGGGGCCTCGAGAAGCCTTTGGCGGGGAAACAAGGCTCGCCCCCTGCCGCCCTGGCTCGCAGCGGCCCCTCCCCGAGGCCTGGGGCCGAGGCCAGTCGGTAGGCGCGTCCCGGACCCCGCTTGCCCCCGCAGGCAGCTGGTGGCACAGGCGGGGGTCGCCGTCATCGACTGCTCCTGGGCCAGACTGGATGACACGCCCTTTGGGAAGATGCGGGGCAGCCACTTGCGGCTGCTGCCCCACCTGGTGGCCGCCAACCCTGTGAACTACGGCCGGCCCTGCAAGCTGTCCTGCGTGGAGGCCTTTGCCGCCACCTTCTGCATCCTGGGTGAGCCCTAGCGGGCCGGAGGGCGGGAGCCCAGCTCCGGCGAGGGTCGCGTCCCACGGACTGGCAGTGGCCAGGCTCGAGGCCCGAGGGGCCTGCAGGGCTGGCTGACTTCCTCGCCCCTGTTCCTGGACCTCCAGGCTTTCCTGACCTGGCTGCAGTTTTGCTGCACAAGTTCAAGTGGGGCCCGGGCTTCCTGGACCTGAACCGCCAGCTCCTGGACGCCTACGCCGCCTGCGGGGGCCCCGAGGAGGTGCTGCAGGCCGAGCAGGAGTTCCTGGCCCGCGCCGGGGAGCGCCCTGAGGAGGACGTGGGTGAGGCTGGTTCCTGTGAGGCGGGGCGATGCCCGGGGCACGGCCCCTCACCACCTGTCTCTCTGCAGACCTTTTTGACGTGGACTCAGGACGGGATTTTGCCAACCCCAACAGGCCCGTGGCTGGCCCCCGGTAGGTCCTGGGGTCCCCACCTCCGACAGCGGAGGGATGGCTTGCCTAGGGGTCTGGGGTTCGACGTGAGCCCCTGTAGGCGAATGGGGAGGCACTTGGTGAAACCCTCTTCTTCCCAGGCTTCCCCCAGGCAGCAGCGACAGTGACAGCGAGGACGGGGCTGAGGGCCCTGGGCCTGATGCCGAAGATGGGGGGGACAGCGGTCGCTGCCCCACAGAGGGAGGACCTGCAGCCGCGGGAGCCGACCCCCCGGAGCCCAAAGGGGAATCAGGATGCGGCCGAGACTGAGCGTGGAGATGTGTATTTTCCGGCGAGGCAGCGGGCACAGACACTGCGGCGGGCGGGGGTGCGGGTGCTGCGGGCCCCAATGAAGCTGCAGGTCCGGGACCGCGTGGTCTGGTTCTTGGGTTCGCATTGGCTCCGGGAGAGGGGCACAGGCGGGCGGCAGAGAGCTCCGGGGGGCGCCTTCCTCAGCAGTGGGCCCAGGGCCAAGAGGCTGTGCTGTCCGGCAAGTCCCCTCGCAGACCCCAAGGGGGGCCACTGGCCGGCGGCCTGGGGCGACGCCACAGCTGTTGCCCAGCCCAGCCCCAGGCCTTCCTGCCCCCACCCCACGGGACGGGCCTCTAGAGGACAGCCTGGTGCCTCGGTATCTGGGCGCAGCTGCCCTCTGCGGCACTGGACGGCCGGAATCTCTGTCCCCACAGCAGCACCCCAGCCCCAGGCTCGCTGTGGCCTGGTCTGCGGAGCAGCTGGCCAGAGTCGGGGTGGGTGCAGGCTTCGTGGCTCGGGGCACAGCCAGGCAGGTGGGGCGAGGGGCCGGGCTCCCGCCTGCACAGAAGCGCACACATGCGGACCGCACGCACAGGGGCACGGTGTCGGCCACGGGCAGTGGGGACGCGGGGTGGCTGTGGCTCAGGAGTCTGCCTCCATGCACTTCTCCAGCTCCTTGAGCCTCTTGACAAACTCCTGGGCCTCCTTGTCTGGCCGCCCCTCCAGCATCCTCAGGGCAGCCTTCACTGCGGGAGGGGAGGGCGCCTTCAGGACCCGGCAGGCCCCGCCCCCTCCCCTGAGCTCCGCCCCGCCCCGCCCCGCCCCGCTCACCCTGGGCCCTGGGCCTGCGCAGGGGCAGGGTCACCGGCTGTGGGAGCCGCGCGCCCCCTCCCACTGGGTGCCTGGCGATGCCACACACGCCGCCCAGGCCGAGGGCGGCCTCCCCGGCGAAGTCGTTGGCGGACAGCCAGTCGTGGTCCATGACCG